AGCAGCTCGTTTCAGCACACGTTATTCCCCCTTGACGTTATTTCAAGCCGATGCTTCCAGGAGTCACTGCTGTGGGTGCAAGACCTCCGCCCGGCTCAGCAAGGCCGGTGTGGGATTGCATCAGGCTGTTGTTGCCGAAGTGGCACCCGCCGGGGCCGCAGAACTGTTTTGCTGCCTGAGCTCATTTATTTTTGCTCCCTCCTGCTCCCCTGTAGCACACGTTATTCCCCCTTGACGTTATTTCAAGCCGATGCTTCCAGGAGTCACTGCTGTGGGTGCAAGACCTCCGCCCGGCTCAGCAAGGCCGGTGTGGGATTGCATCAGGCTGTTGTTGCCGAAGTGGCACCCGCCGGGGCCGCAGAACTGTTTTGCTGCCTGAGCTCATTTATTTTTGCTCCCTCCTGCTCCCCTGTGCTTTGCACACAAGGCTCATCGGCTCCTCTGGAGCAGCTGGAAGCTAGCGGCTATTAAAAGTCAAATGCTTTGCCCTCCTGATGGTTACTACCCTGGGTGCCTGGGGGGCCAGCACAGTAGTGCCGAGCCTCTGCCCATGCCTTCCTCCCAGGCTTGGACTCACCGACATCCCCTTGCTGGAGCCACTGTCTTCTGGGCAGCCTGCAGCTGGGCTGCTTGGGGTGACGCTGCCTCGAGCTGGCTGTGGATAGAAGCAGCAGTGGCAAAATTCGCTGCACAACAGGTTCTCTGCAACACTGCAGAAGCACATTGCAGTCTCAAAGGGGTAAAAGGCTTCTCTGTCCACTTGTGAAGGAAGGGGGATGGAGGCTGTAAGGGAAACAAGAGGACTGAAGGGTAGCCTGACAATGGACAACCCCAGTGGGTGTTAACTCTGAAACCTACTGACTACAATGATGGCATTAAAGTCTGTCTCATTACTGTTCATTTTGCCCAAATGTGTTCTGCTGTTGCAATGCCAGGTTGAAGGTCCCATAGCTGAATCCACTCCCCTTCTCCTGCCTGGATCAACCTGAGCTGTGGAAATAAGCTGAGGGCACTCCACTGCCCTGCTGCTACATTCCTCTGCTCTCCTTTTCTGTCTTCAGGGCTTCCGTCAGAGCAGCCATGAGATGCTGCTTTAGGTTGCCTGCACACAAAGATTTACTCAACCGTGTGCTCAGGGTGGTCTTTTTGCAGCGCATTGCCCAGCCTGCCAGCCAAGAAGGGGTTGCAGGGGTGCTGGGGGAGGCTGCGTGGTGTTCCTGTCTCATCGGCTGCCCCTTGTTCCCCTTGCAGGACTGCCCCCAGATCCTGCCCTCTACCCAGATCTACATCCCTGTGGGCGTGGTGAAGCCCATCACCCTGACGGCCAAAAACCTGCCCCAGCCGCAGTCCGGCCAGCGCAACTACGAGTGCATCTTCCACATCCCCGGCAGCACCACCCGTGTCACTGCCCTGCGCTTCAACAGCACCAGCATCCAGTGCCAGAACACCTCGGTGAGTGCGTGGCTCAGCTCGGCGCGGGCTTCGTTTGAGGGCTGCTCGTTCCTCCCTGTCCTGGGAGCTTCCCAGCTCATTGCACAGCCGGGTTTGCTCTCCCATGGGCAGGTAACGGGAGTTTCTGATGCTCATGGGGTGCAGTGTGGGCTCTCCCCCACCTCCCCGCTGGGCTGTGACCCCTGCTCCCCTGCACCAGGAGGCTGCTGCCCAGGGTTGTTCCGCATAGGATCAAGCCAGAGCCACCCTAGGGAAGCTGCCAGGCTTTAGGAGCACTTCCAAGGAAATTGGCTTTGGAAAGCTGAAGAAAGTTGCCTGGGCCAGAGCCAGCTGGCCTGGACGTGCTGGAGCCTTGCCTCCCTCTCCCCTCTGCCTGCTCTTGCTCCCCCCTGACGCCGAGCCATCCCGCTTCACAAGCAGGATTGAGCTAACATCTTCCCCGTGTCTCGCTGCGCACGCTCCCCCACGTGCAGCCATGCCTGCCAACCCTGCAAATGCTTCCCCCACTCCCCTGCAGCCCCTGTCCATCCCCGGCTCCGTCTGGCAGCTGCCTCATCCCCCTGCCCACCCTCCGTCCTGGCCCTGCTGGCTCATCACTCCCTGCCTCTCTGTCCTTGCCCCCTGCCGCTCCGCTGTTTAAGCTCTCTGCTGCAGGCAGCTCTGCCCTCTGCGGCTCCTTGTCCCTAACCGAGAGGTGTTTCATGGCCCCTCACTGACCTACGTGTGTGCCCCACGCTGCGTGGCAATCCTGTGCAGGGAGCACCAAGTCCATGAGCAAACCCACCCAGGGTGTTAATAGCCCCCCGGGAGCCGGTGTCACTCAGCTGCTCCGCTGGGCTCTGCACCAACCTGCCCTCACCCGCGTGGAGCCGGCTCCTCCGTTTTCCCTCCCGTTTAATCCTTTTCAAATTTGTTTTCCATCACTCACACTGTGAAAGCTCGTTTGTAACCTAACACCGGCACCGATCCCTGCTCCCTGGTCCTCCGGTGGCGCGAGTGACATTTAAAGGCCATTGAAGATGAGTCCCAGTTCCCTGCCACGCTCCCAGGGCTGTGGAGCCTTTGGGCAGGAGGAGCATCCCGAGCTGCTGCCTCCTGCCCTGGGCAGCAGTGCGGGGGGCGCTGTGCTGCCAGGGGTCTGTCTTGGCGACACGCGGTTTGTGAGGAGCA